TCTTCTAAGACTAAACCTCTCACCTCTGTGTTGGCTAACTAGCCATCACTGCTGCCTGTTGGCTACACACCTGCCCCAAAACCACCTAGAGGCAGAGGTGGGCCCCAAGAGGACTCTCTCACACACTCACACACACACACATTTATGCATAAGGCCGAGTGTGTGCACTCACATCAAACATTCACAGACTCTTGAGCTGCTCCTGCAAAAAAAACACACAAAAATGCATTCTCCACCCAAAGATGCACACACATTTGTTTCCCACAAACACACACACACACACACACACAGACTCCTTCAGTTTATACGTCATTCACTCGCTGTCTTTTTGTCAGAGCTGCTAACAAACACACACCGGGCGCTGGAGAAACACCCTGCGCGCTAAAGTAAATTAGCAATATTAGGAATGTGCACTCATCATTTGCAGTCAATTTCCTGTTGCTAATGAGATTAGAAACAATGCTGTCAGTCAAAATAACAGTGGCGAACCATTTTCATTTTATTTGTCTTCTTGAGCGCGTAATCAAGCCGTTGCTTTAATAATCAGGAAAATGGCAGGATATGGCAGCACTTTTTAATTACATTTTGAATATCATGGAGTTTTTAGTCTCTTGGAAATGTCATTTCACATGATATTGGATTAATATTAACACTAAATGAGGTACACAATATGAAATTATAATTTCCACATGGATATGAGAAGGGAATAGGATAATAACCGCAGCACAAACAAACAATTTTAATTGTCATGATGAGGGTTATACAAGATAACCAGCAGTAATGGAAATTGCCTCGTGATTTTAATGTTAGTTTTAGACAGCTGCATGTAAAAGACAAGTACAGTAAGTCTTTCCTCCTCATCTGATCCTTCCTTTTCTTCACCTCCTGCTGTTCATCTCCATCCCTCTGCCTCATCTATCCTCCTCCTCTTTTCACAGACCCCCCTCCCCTCTGATCCCCTCCCCTCACGATGGGGACTGTCAGTGTGGATGGTGGCAGTGGTGACCAGAAGAGGGCAGACATACTGTATTTAATCTCATATCCTGTAACACATCTCTCTCTCATTTCTCTCTCTCTCTCTCTTTTTCCCCCCACATCTTTTTTTTCTTCCTGTCACTATTTCTCTCTCTTTGTCTCTGGTGTCGACTCTTTGATAGTCAAGAGGAATTTCTGACCCCCACCCACCGCACCGCCCTCACCATGCAGAAAAGTCTGTCATGTCTGCAGGGTGACTAGCGAGGATGGACACATTTTACGCCGCGTCTTGTTTATGAAAAAAGAACATAGTTACAAGTGTGTTGTGCCAGAAAAAAAAAAAAAAGATAAATATAAATATTTCTGTGTTCTCGTAATTTGTGTTCTCTTCCATTTCCGCAATAAAAATAAATAAATGTACTTAAAACAGGTTACAAACTTTTCCAAATGATCCAAAGCTCTCAGTGAGTCGTTCAGTTCAAAGCTGTAATTTTTCAGAGCTACAGAGTCAGAGTTAAAAAATGCTCCTGTGCTTCAGCTGTTGAGGCCTTCATCAGGGCAGGTATGAAGTAGCCGCCCAGTTTCTTCCCACAAGCAGTCACATGATCAGTTTGGTCACATGATCAATGTAGTTCAACAGGTAAAGCTCTTTAAACACATCGAAGCCAAATAAACCTTCCTGATACAAAGATAATCAAAGGAATAGAAGAGAACGTTTTATAAAAACATACTTTTTTTTTTCCTTTGGATGAAATTTGTATTTACTTATTTACTTTTTTTGCACACTTATTTTATTAATCATATTTTTTAGGACTTTATTACACACTATGTATCTATTAAAATTCTCTGAGTAAAAGTCCAATTTTCACAGGATTATATGTGTAATGTGATTCAGTGGATGTCACTGTTTTTATAAATCCTTTACATATATTTCAAACTAAAAACACAGACAGGTTGTCGTTTAATAAGGTCAACATACAGTTCAAATAAAGGTGTTTTGGTTTTTGTTGCACCTGATTTTGGAATATCCTGTCAATATTTTAAAGGATCTCCTAAATTATTAGGTCTAAAAACAATTTGGAAGTGAGAGTAAATTTTTAAATTCTGGTAATTGCATACATCTGTTTATCCTGAAGAAGACTGTTTCAACTCCATTTTTTAAAAATGACATTAACAATTAAAATACTGAAATAAAATCTGTTGTGACAAAAGATTATAAACAAATTCAACACATTTTTTTTAGCTTGAAAAAAGTATTTCCTGTTCCCAGCATGAAAACAAAACCCTTAAAACGGAGAGATTTACAGGTTTTGTTGGAGTGTGACGTCATGGATGTTCAGATAGGATGATAAGACACACACCACAAAAAGCAGATCATTTGTTTGTGTTTAAATGCAGCCAGCCATCGACAGAGACTCTCATGCTCTTACTCATCCAGGAAAGGGCAGGGCCAGAGACAGCACCGGACATTATTACATATCGATTTAAATCCCTCCTCCTTTCCTCTCTGTTTTATCTGATCAGACAGAGGCACAATGGTCGATCTCTCTCTCACTCCCTCTCTTCTCTCTCTCTCTGTTTCTGTCTAGCTGCCTCTCTGTGCTCTTTTTTTTTCCTGAAACCTCCCTCTGGTGTATTTTAGATCCTGCATGCCTGAGGCCTTTGCACACCTCACTCTTCCTCCCTCCCTCCCTGCCCCCCTCCCCCCTTGGTGCTAATGAGTCAGTGGTGCTAACAGTGCGGGGCTAGCTAGCCTGCTGATGAAATGTAAATGGGCAGTAATGAGCACAACCGCAGCCACTTGAGGGGAACACCGCCATGGCCAAGTACACTGTCCCTCCCTGCCTGCATTCCTGCATCACTCACTATTCCTGATGGACAGGCCTGGTCCCGGGGGTGGGCGTGTGACTGACAGGGCCTTGCGCCTATGCTGAGGGGGACCCCGGCGGGCCTCTGGAGTGGCCCTTCTTGACTGACCGCAGGGACGAGGATAGTGACGGCGGCGCGGGTCTCACCAGTCATTCTAAACCGGTCCATTAATTACACGAAACCCTTAGAGAAAATTAACAGGCAAATTTAATAACAGGGAGGAGGAGAAGGTGGTTTGTATGTGTGGCTGTGCATGTGTATATGTATATGTGTACGTGGAGGATTGTAACTGTGACGCTCCGAGCTCATTGTCACCACTGACACTCATCAAACAGGCCTCCCTGACACTTAAGGTCAATGATTTAAAGCTCAACAACAGGTTTAGTGAGGGCGATAAATCGCCACACTGTGGGCAATAAATTGCCGCTTTAATGTTAAGTCATCCCTCAGCAATTAGAGACCTTGTGTCAGAGTTTCTCTAATTGGTGATTCATGGTGAACCATAAAGGATGATTCTCCACATGGAAGTTTGATGACATGTGAAAGGCGCCATCAAGAGCGTTTGACTTTATGTGATGTTGAAGCAAAAGTGATTATCAGTCATGTCAGGCAGGAGATGCTGGAACAAGGGTGTTGGAGGCTTTAATAAAAGGAAAAAAGGTATGAACTTTTTAAGAAATTGACATAACTGTACATAAGAGTAGCACACTAAAGGAAGAATACAACAACAATACAATAACAATGTTTTTAGTTGGGCCTTTAATTAAATTGACCAGGAGGGTAACACTTTATTTGTCACTTATCTCTATAAAGCATTATAAATATGTGTATAATGTGTTATAATCATGTTATAGCACTGTATAACTATAGTTATAAACACTCATCGATGATCATAATGCTTTATATCAATAATCATAACACATTGTAACGCATTTTATCATGATTATAATACCTGACCTTGTAAGTCATAATGAAATGCTTTACAATATGTTGTGATTATTGCTATAAAGCATTATTAAGTGTTTAAAATGATGGTAATACAAGTTAATACATCATAAATATATGTATAATGTATTATCTATGTGGGCATTGTCAGTGAGTTGTTAACAGTTATAACACATTATAATACCCGACCTTGTAAGTCATGATCAAATGCTTTATAATGTGTTTTGATTATTGCTATAAAGCATTATGATCATTTGAGTGTTTATAACTATAGTTATACAGTGCTATAACGTGATTATAATGCATTATACATATATTTATAATGCGTTATAGAGACAGGCGTCAAAAAAAGTGTTACGCCAAGAAAACTCCAGGAGGTTACATAAGTAAGATGTAATAAGACTTAATGACATTCATTTTCCTTAGTTTAAGTTTAGAGTCTATTTCAGTTAATGCATAAAACTAAAAACTGAAAATTTGAAGAGAAAACCATATTTCAGTGGAGACAATCTCTGATCTGTTTCGTACAACCTCACATAGTTTTGGAAATAAATCCTTCACAAAGTAGGGTACAGTGCGAGAGTAAACTGACTTCTCAGTTTGACTTTTAGGAAACTGCCCAAACTTGCTCATTTTATCACTGATCTCTTTCCAGGAATTCGAGATCTTCCTGCAACTCACACTCTAACTACATAAGGTATGTGCTTATGTCACTCCACAATCTAAATGTGCTCTGGGAGATTTGTAAAAGGAAATTCGAGTTGTGACGGCAAGTGCAAATCCCTCGGCGGTCGCTACATTTGAATGTTGTGTTTGGCTCGGTATACTGTATCTTTTAGCTCCTGCCTCTCACTTGCTGCACTGTTCAAAGAGAGATATGCTAATGCAGAAAGTAGTTGGACTACACTTGGATTGGAAAAACAGCAGCAAAGCCATCAGCTCGGCATATAGTCTGTCAAACTCTCTTGTATGTGTGTGCGTGTAGATATGGAAAATAGAAGAAGAGAAGAGTTTGGGGTTGCCGTGGCCCACTTCTTCTCCTTCTCCTCTGTATTCCCTCTTTCTCTGCGGTGCTGTCAGTCTCCCTGGGGTCGGATCAGCGCCGCCGCAATAGGTAGGCCGAGGCTATCAAAGTACACGTTTTAACTTTTTAAGACTTTGCAGGTTGGCTTTGTTCTCCTTTTCTCTCTGTTGTGCGGGCTCTCCTGGGCCCTGGGTTGGGGAGTCTCTCTGGGTGCTGGCGAGTGGCTCTGGGCTATTAAAGAAAAAAAATGCAGGTTATCTTCTGGGAGAAGTGGAGGAGCCTTTCAAATTGAAGAGAAAGAAGGAGTTTGAAGGAGAAGGCAGGGAGGGAGTGTTGGTTTCGATGATGAGTGTGCATGTAGCCTATACACGATGTTTACGTGGCGTTAATGCAGAGGAAGGTGATCATCAAAGGCCTACTGTGTTTCCTGCATCTTTGGGGTTTCAAACCACAAAACAGCCCCCACCCTCTGAATGCACACATACATGCATTCACACAAATACACAGAGACAACCGCTGCATCACCTCCCCCCCCTAAATGCACACACACATCTGCTGCATCCACCACCACCACCACCACCAGCAGTACTACCAAAAAAAACCCGGGCTCAAAGCCTTTGGGATGATTTGATTAGCAATGATATCTGAAAACGGCCTCATCGTGCTAACAAGATTAAGCTGAGGCCCTGTCTGTTTGCAGTGCTGGAAATTTGCTAGGTGATTAAAACTGGCTCTCTCTGCTGGAACAGAAGCCTTAGCCGGCTAGTGGGACCGTTGCCAGGTAACAAGACATGACTGCTGTTTTGATGTGGCTACATACGCAAAATGCTAAAGCTATACAGTATAGGCTGGTAGGAGATTAAGTATAAAACCTGTGACCGTCGCCAGACAGTACAGAAAGTCAAATCTTTGATTGAAATGATGCGCAAGTGTAGCTATTCCAGATAAATGGAACCAAAAACTCCACTCCACTCCTCTTATCATTGCCAAATATTGATGCAAATGCTTAAAAAGGTCTTAAAATCACTTAATAATGGGGTTCATTCTCAGTTACAGGCACTGTGAGGAGCGGGCATTTTTTCTCAACTCTGCATTTGTTGTGGACGCTAATGAGCGAAATCCATGACAACTTTTGCAAGATGTAAATACTCATCTGATTTGTTGTTACATAAAATTGCAATGAGAGAGCAACCACTAAACTTTGCAAACTTTGCCTACAGTTAGTTATCTTACAAGAAGTGACCAGATTTGCCAGATTGCATCAGTAAAAGTCCAAATAAGATGAATATGCACGCTGTTAAACTCCTCTGAAGTAGACAGAGCTAAACATCCTGATTAAAATGATCATTCCTGTTCATAACCGCTTTGCTCTTTTACCCAGTATTGCTCTGGTTGTGGAATTTCTTTTAATAGAATATCACTTCTGCAAAAAGTGTACGTCTTTTTGCTTTTCCTGCTTCTGTAATATCAAAAACATCATTTAAAAAAACAAAAACAAACTCCCGTTAATCTGTTTCCCACCAACAAACTTAAAAAAATGTTGTTTAAAACTTTAAGATGTGCGCCACATAAAGATGCAAATTTTCATTTTGATTATTTTGCTGAAAAACTGTACATTGGTACCAAAATTCAGTATTAAAAAATTACCCCTCTTGTAACTGATAATCTCATTTGCTGTGTTTGCATCAGCATAAGATTGATTCTATTTCAAAATCAATAAAAAAACCTCCTATTTACAACGGCCGGGCTTTAACTTAATCTGTTTATTTCTTTTCATCTCTAAAATGGCAGTTTTTGTCAGTTTCACTAACATTAACTTTAGATATTCAATAAAAACTTTGATTTATTACAGTAGTTTCATACTACTCAGCAAACATTGGTGAGCGAAAGTTTGTTTAGTGAGCTATCCTCCATTATTAAAACTAAAATACGTGTGCTTTAAACCCCCTGCAACAAGAAAAGTAATAGTAAATATTAGATTAAGCCCTGCAAGTGTTTGGGTTTACGAGAAAATAAGTTTCACTTTTACCTCAAAGTATTTTCTCAGCACTCTCCCATGTGAACGGGAGTCAAGCTGCAGAAGCCCCAACTTTCAGTTTACCCTATAGGAAGGGTATTAATTCTTCACTCCAACACTGTATTTATTCAATTGGATTATGTATGCATGGAAGACCTAATGAGGGCTTAAAAATGCAATTATTGCTTAAGCAAAAAATGTGACTTTTTTGATAAATGTTTCTATTACCTAATAAATGGAGAATCAACAGACTTCTGAAACTGCTTTATTCAGGGCTTGAAATTAGCCCATCAATCATTTGCAGAGTTTGTTAACCGTTTCTCTGCTTCTCGCCCCGGATTTCTATCGCCTCATCCTCAGAGGTCTGGTGATATGCAGAGAGGAGATAGAGATAGAGAGGAGGAGAAGGAGGAGGAGGAGGAGGAGAGGACACATCACATATCATAACTGTGGAAAAACAATGTGGGAGAAAATCATCCCAGCTGGGACAAAAAGAAAACACTTACATGCATGCCACGATACCCCTTAACGATTGGACTATGATAATGAAGAGCATTTATAATTCATAAACTCTATAGGCACAGGTCAGTGGCGCAATGTGAACAAGGTTAATCAGAAGCAAGAGGGTCACAGAGCACCGAGAGGTCGTCCTGATTTTTTATGAGCATATTGATTATGTTTTCGGAACAATGAATATCACACAGTGGCATATGTGAGTGTTATTGTATTGATTTGGTGAGTTCCCATCCATATGTGGCCAGCAAGTATCAAATTGACCCCAATAAATGGACCATTACAATATTCAAGGGAGATATCCAGTGGGTGAAAAACTGACCAGTAAGAGAGGATTCAACTCTTTGCACTTTGGACAAACATGCCATTAAACTCTGTATTTTTTCTTTCTTTCTATCTTAAAAGTTACAGCAAACTGGCAGGAAAGTCTTACATACGCATACACAAACACAGCAGGTGTGATAGGGACCACACCTGAGGGAAGTTTTGAATTCAACCACAGAGAACCTCCACTCTGCTTGTTATCACTTGTGTCAGTCAGTTCAGTTTAGCTTCTATCTCCTGCCAGGTACAGTAATCTGAGGTATGGGAGAGATACCAGAATGTGTTTATAGAGGAGAAAACAACAGAGCCATTTCATTGTGTTCCTGAACCCGATCTGAATAAATGGGATGTGGCCCTTCTTGTCAGAGTTGATTGGGAAAATGTTGTGATCCCGGTGATTCCTGGCACGGGACAGACAACATGAAAGCATACACACCCTGCTGTACATCAATTCAAACGCAGGCGGAGGGGAATATTCAAAATATATTCATGGAATGTTCAGAGTTATTTCGGCGAGGGATCACACAATATTACCTCCACACGGTGATAAGATAAGGTATTTTTCATATTTCCATGTATTTTCATTCATTTTCTCATTTTGGGGAAGGGGGAGGAAGAGTTTGGCCTCAGGCAAGATTAATAAGCATTTAAAACGGTTTCACTGCTAACCGGCAAATCACAGTGTGTGTTTCAGAGTATTGTTCACCACTGAGTGGCCATGAATGACATAAATAGATTGCCCTGGTATACCTCGTCGGCGAGCTATTGAAGGCAGAAACAAATAAATAAACAAAGCACATGTGCTTTACCTATAGAGCTTCACACATGCAAAAGAAGTATGGAAATCACATACACATGAATAGGAAAATACACCTCAAACACACAGTATACAACCCATATATTCCATCTCCCAACTGAGCTATAATTAAATGAAAACTTGCCTTCCGGTGGCTTTTTTTTTCCCTCAAAAGACAGAATTCAAAACACTTAACCCCTATTAGATACCAATTGACAACAGAGCCTAAAATGGTTTCTGCAGCCGTTGGCTAGGTCCGTGTTAGTGTCAATAGCTGGCTGGAAGCCTATGTGTGGCTACAGGCTGCCCCCTCCTCTGCAACACCAGCAACACTAACCTTCCTCCCACCAACACATGAATAAAAATACACACATGCATTAACCATCTACAGAATTACAGAGCACACACCCATCGAGAGGCGCTAACTCCGTTCATCATGAGAACACACAACCGCGACACAAACTTGTGCCCATGCAGCACAACTGTAAAGTGGTTTAATGTCTGATGTTCAAACAAGCAAGCGCAGCCACCATAATTGAAGCCCTCCCCAAATTGTGTTTTTATTTTGCTCCCCAGTTCTGAAATATAATCAGTTTGCCTAATTTTATTGCATTTCCTAATGATGCTCGCCCAGAGCAATTGTTCTGTGTGTTCCTTAGCAAACAGCGCGTGTCAGCTCACTGAGATTAATCTTGATTACTTTAGCCCTTGATGAAGTAGGCTACAATAATGCTTTAATTGGGGAATATTACCACATAGAGAAAAAAATGGTGATAGATAGACCAGGAGATGGATGTTTGACTCCAAACTGCACTAATTGTAATGCTGTTTGGAGTGATTAACTTTGGATGGATCAGTGGCTGTGGAGGAGGCAGAACACAAACAACAAATAGGGAACCACATCTATGACTGTGATGTGCTGCAGACACTGGTGTTGTTGTTTTTTTTAACTATGCCTCTGAAGAAAATGATGACTCAGATTTAATTACAAGGATAATGACAATACTTTGCGACTGCCAGTTTGAGAATAACCCAACAGATCTTCACTTTTCATGTGTTTTTAGTGGTGAAATGTTCAGGTATTTGTGTGAATTACTCATATTTATTTTCTGTTGTCCATGATACACAATATGATATTTGATGCAACATAGCAGACATGTTTTCCCTAAGTTAAAACATAGTTAAACCAAACAGACAAGTTTTACATCTTATCTACAGTGCTCAGCATAAATGAGTACACCCCTTTAGAGTTGTCAGAAAACCTTTAGTTTCCTTTCAAAATCAACATTTCCTTTGTCAAACTATACAACAAAATACCCTCCTAAATGCAGGCCTTTTATTGTAAACAAGATTTTTTAAGTTGCATACAAAAAAAGTATTTTTTTTCAATTTAAAATCAGGATGCAAAAATGAGTACACCCCAATCAAATTTCTGGGAGCGAAGCTAAATTTTAGTTACCATATCACCCTTATTTTCATCTTATGGTAGGGTGACCATATGTCCTCTTTTACTCTGACACGTCCTCTTTCAACTGAGTTAGAAGCGCAAAAAAAACATTCCAAATTTCGCATGCAACTCCGCCCCATGTCGTGGTGACCCCTTTTGGGAGATGCATAATATGGTCACTCTAAATAAAATGTTATGTTAAACTCAGCTTTGTCAAAACTGTGGAAATTGTGCTTTTGCTCATCTAGATATTGGTAATACATGTCTTTTAATAGGGCGTGTACTGACTTGTGCTGGGCACTGTAAGTGTGTCCCACAGGGATCCATTCTAGAGCCTCTACTGTTCATCAAAGATGTGTAACCCTCAGTAAGTTTGGCACCATCCTGAGTTGTTGTGTTTTTCTGCTGAGTATAAGACTCATTGTTTATGAATAGCCAGCAAAAAGCGAGTTGATATCACTGTCTTCATGAGAAATCAGGCTAAATAAAGTGTGCTAGCATTCCTAACACTGACTTCCTACTCCTCTCTCACTGTGTGCCAAGAGAATCTTTATGAATTAAACAAGCTCCTGGTTGATAAAATTCAGCACTAACACTCTAACCTCATTACCTGGACCTGAAGTATAATGAAGCTCCCAAAAAATGTGGGTTCAAGGCCTGTCATGTCATTACTTATGGAGGCTACAGAACACACCCCGAGGGCAACACCCAAATCTGCTCATGCAGCTCTCCTGCTATTCTGCCCTATCTTCACTTGTGTTGTATTGTACGTGACACGGGTGAGCGCGCACACACACACTGTACAGTAAAACGCACCACATGCATAGACACACAGCTGCACGCCACACTGTGCTGAAGCTGTAGGAGAGACCCAATCTGCTTGGTTGGGACAGTTGTCTTACGAGGTGTCCTACGCTGACCGGACATATGCTGACCCCTTCTGATTTTTGTTTTTTTTGTGCTGACTTCTTCGTTGGTGCCTCTTTGTGTCACGACTTTGTGCTGAGCTTTTGATTGGGTGGAGGAAAGAGGAGGTGTTTGCTTGCAGTATATATACATGTAAGAGATAGTGCTTACTTTGTGTCATACTATAGAAGAATACGAGTTTGCAGTTTATTCGGCAGTCGGTGGTTTGATTCTTGAGGACTAAACAAAGCCATACTATCTTAAAAAAATGCAGATAAAGACAGAATCACTTGTTGAGCACATGAAAAAAAACACAACCTGGAAAACAACATGTCTTTAATGAAATATACTGATTTTCTTTTACACTGCACCCCTTTCACTTCCACCTCAATCTCTATCCAGTCCATGTGAGTGACACCTGACAGAATGTGAGAGTTAAAGGTAAACACACACACTCACACCTCCAGAGACCTTGTCACCTGCTCACGCCAGACAAGTTCAAGAGAGGAACCCACGGATGGGCGTGTGGGGACAATGGGGACAACAGCCTAAGCGTGTGGACATTGGTGCTGTCTGGTAAAGGTGTGAATCTGTCATTACAGAACATCACAGCTCTCTCACAGACACACACACAGGCACGGCAAACCAAAGCACACTGAGACTTATGTTTCTATGCAGGTATATATCATGCATGCATGCAGACACCCAGGTTCACCCTCTGTTCCACAGTTCTCAGGACGAGGAGGTCACCCTCAGTAAAAGTCTGGTGTTCATCATCATGCAACGTCAAATCCTGCTGCAGCGTCGCTATGCATGTCAAAAAGGCCTTTCTTAGAGAAGCTTGACAAGATGCAAAAGGATCAGTCACGGTGTACCGGAAAGATAACGTCACCAGAATCTGTTACGACATATTGTTTGGAGGAGGGGGGAGAGCTGAGACACGTTCCACAAAAGCCACGCTTAAAACAGGAGCTGCACAGTTGTTCTGTGATATTAATGTATGACGACAACTAACAAAAAAAAAAAAAATCAATACAATTTTTTATGACATCTCCATCTCCCCTGGCTGCCGTGTCTGTAATACTATTCAAATGGGAGCATTGGTGATAAGGTTTGGCCAAGGCTTCTATAAAGGAGGGGGAATGGAAGTCAACGATGATAGAGGGGCCCCTAGATAGCTCGCTGCAGGCTGTCTGCAGTGCCATAAGCTGTTGTTTTATTCCTCATATTGTGGATGTAATCAGAAGAACAAATACTGTGTGTAGTTGGCAGGGGTGTCTGAGGGCTATCCCCGTCTCTGCAGTCATATAGCGCACAATCTACATACCATAGTCCACAGGAGGAATTATAGGGAATGCGTCATTGAGGATCTGGGGGAATATGGCCAGAGGTTAAACCTGTGTCTCATCCCAGAAATACTAGCTGTGAAATTGTGAACCAAAATATTTTTGATAAATCGAGATTATATACACTTTTACCCAAAATATAGCGGATTAATGACTGATAATATATTTGTAAAAAAAGATTATGATGTTTTGTGTGCCCACATTTTGTTCCTACTAATTGCACTAATGCTAAATAAATTGTACTTTGGTATATTTTTTTTTAATCTATGAGTAAACACTTCAAGTGCTGTTTGCTTTAATGCATTTTGCCATACTATGTTTCTTTACCGCTGATGAGTGTGAGTGGATTTTAATCCTCTGGGTTTACTCCATCTACAGTCTGTTGGCAGCGTCGCCTAACTGGAATTTTTGACAGTTGACAGTCACTCAGGTTGTCTTGTTAGAGCCCAGCCAGGGAATCACAAAACATATACACACGTAGGCACACACATAAACACACACACACTCATACTAAGGAGCAGACGGAGAGCCAAGTGTACACTAAATAAACCTGCTTGTCATAATAATGACGAGAGCCGACTCCATTATGTTCTTTTGAGTTTATTTCTCTGATTTACCACAGTCAAAGCGACGCGTGCCTGGGACGGTCTCCAAGGTTGCTGTCAGGGGGAATTTAATGTCCTTGGCTTTAGCGTCTTTCTGGGAGCCTGTCACATCGACTCAGCACTGACTGGCGTACCAGCCGGGACCTCTGGCATTGTGAATATTAATAGAATATTGATACCGCCAAAACACCGCGGTGGGATTCTCATGTCGTCTACCCCCTTTGACTTTACGCAGGACATCCTTCTTCGCCTCACCTTCTCAAGTTTTCGCCCTTCTTAAGAAGTTTGGCAAACCTCATTAATTTATGATTTCATCACACTAAATTAACTACTGAGTAAGCACAAAATAAAGGTGTGCAATTTTTCAATAACAAAGTCAGGTGGGACCTGTTGAGGGCCAGGTGGTGAGTGTAGGCAGTTTACACACCCACCAGCACACGCGCATACACTGGTAACATGCATGCCCCACCATCTGTGTCATTTCTCTTTCATAAACCACACATGCATGTACCTTCATGTAGACATTTCTTAAAAGCAATGACTCAGCCATGAATAAAACTGGGAGCTCCTCCAACTATCTTTATTCATCTTTCCGCCACTGCAGTTGCAGCAGCCAGCACAAGCATGACCCCACAAGTGTTTCAAACCATCCAATAACATTACTCAACTGATGCTGCTCTCCTTTCCCAGGCCCTGAAAGACATAAAATTGTATTGAAAAAACATATGTGTGGTGCAGGGAAATTCATTTTCTGAATAAATAATGAATTTTCTAAAAGAGCTGAAGCTCCCGTGAGGAGTTTTTAAAGGTTATGAAGAAGATTGAAATTAACTGTGATGCCTTTTTATGAGCTACCAAAGAAAACAAGACCATTGACAGCAAGACTGATGATTTCTGCATTGTACTTTTTAATGCCTTAAACCGCTATGAGAGAGAAAGTTTCAGAGAAGTCCATTTACAGTAAAAAAAAAAATTACAGTTCCCTATAATACACATGCTTTTAATTCTTTCTTTTTACTTTCAGACAAACAGTTGACTAGACACATTAATTTTTCTCCACTGCATCCGACCCTGCTTGTTAACATTAGCTTTCACAACTTAATTACCAATAGTCTAATAAATAAATATAAACTTACGCAACGTCAAGAAATGAAATATCCGTACACTTACTTTAATTATCAAACAGAAAAATACAATTGTACACCTTCTGAATTCAAGTTTCTGGTTTAGTTTTTTTCTGTCAAAGACGAATGTTAGCTTACTTAAAGTTAGCTTGTTAAACCACCACAAAATATTCCTAAACTGTCGGAAAAACAAAAGAAAACTCACCAAAAATGTCGCCAATCATTTTTCCCTTGCTCCGCCAATCACTGTCTGCGGTGTTGTCAGAATGATTCCTAAATTCACCGGGCAAAGTATATGTTAAAATTGTGTCAAGTCTAAAACAAAATGCCGTGGATGATCGCCTCCAGGTCATGTCTAAAAAAGGGAGATGGGAGGGATCGAGCACATGAGTATCGACCCGCGCAGCTGCCCATAATGCATTGCAACTCACAAAAACGTGATGACGCAGGCGTTTTAATCCCGGCACTGTCTTCAAAGTCAAGTGGACAGAAATTACTAATTCAGGTGGACCTGGATTTTCAATTTAGCATTTATTTTGTAGTTGAGACTTTTTAACAATTAATTTCATGTTATTATGACAACTGCAGTCATCACATGTCCTACTGATACAGGATAATATGTTAAGATAACAGTCAAAATCACATTTTACGGTGCAGAAAAAACTGTTAAGTTAAGAAATAAATTGCAGCTACGACACGATCATCATATCATAATTCAATCTGCTTGATTCTGATTGGAGCATCAAAATCTGTGACTTCACCTTCTTTTCCTCCCAGTACAAAAATATAAATGAAGAGAATTGTTTTCTGAAAAGCCCTTAAAAAGATTTTGCATCACAATTCAAATTTAAAAACTTGGAGAAAAAGTCATAATAAAACGTGAGCATCTTTTTTTTTTCCATCATGAAATTGAACCACATAGTAAAAATCTTGCGTTTTTAATCACAGGGGACATTGATTTTGATGTAAACATAATTATCAAAGAGCGTCAGACTCAATTGGCCTGACAAGATAGAGAGTTCATTATCAGCCAAAACACTTGGGAGTGTGATTCTCTAATTAATTTTCTATAATGAACCCAATGTTTTCGTTAAGCTTGGAAATACCTCAATGACACATTGTTTACTGTGGGAACTCATCTCTGCTCCGCTGGGTTTTGCGTTGAGGCTTGTGTTGGGTTTTGTGTTGCGTTCGCCTGCTGGTTGTTCATGTTTTATCATCAGTGTGTTGCACATTCATCATGTAACAGGCGATAACATTATGATGAAAAAAAGGGCTTGGCAAGGTTACTGTTTTGCACAATTACTTCCTGTCTCCAAAGTGATGCATGCACGTGAATTTAAAGCTGATTTTAGTCATTCAAGAGACATTTTGAAGTTCCTCCATGTTGGTCAGATCAACAGTGTCCCCTCCCTGCCCTTCTCTGTCTGTCTCCGTCTCTCTCCCACTCACCATACCAGGCGGCGTTGGCATCAGAAACCATTTTCAATAATTGATTCCGCTCTCTAATTGAACAGCACGACTGAACGACATAGCTCATTACTTTACTCATTAGTTAATTATCGGAGAAGTAGGACAAGTCAATAAAAGTGAAGGCAGTAAATTCCGATACTAATTAGCCGCGCTTCCTTCAAGACATATTTAAAGGCAGATTAGTTACCTGAATGTCCCGCGACGGGATGGGAGGGGGGGGCAGAGGAGGAGAGGTGGTGGGGGGCTGCGAGATTGTTAGCTGAGGTAAGCCGCTTGATATCATTAATGTGGGAGAGATCATAGTTACAGGAATGTGATGGAAATCCCTGAAAGACAGAATTAAAACCACATGGGGATTCAAGGTAAAGAGGGCAGAAAGTGAAAGTTTGGTGCTAGTTTTAAACACACAGGGTTCCTCTTTTATAAACGTATATTGTCTTAAGTTTAAATTAATTCATGTTTTCATTTGAGTAGTTTTAACAAAGAATAATTTACTATATTTGTACATTTAAAGTCTCACACTGTGGCCTAAATAGTGCTTAAGTTGTGGCTTCAATAAAAGAACGAGTAGAAGAGTTTCCGTCATATAAAACTGTAATGACTAAATGTGATTATAAGCTGTAAATAGCAATAATATTTGTGGCTCATCAATGATATCAACTAGGATTGTGTCTTTGATGTATTGCTCCAAATTGATTAATGGAGAGAATTGATTAAAACAATCTATCGCCTTTCATTACGAGCCTCTCCGCCTCTATTTGTTTTCTTGTCTAATGCAGCTAATAATAACCGTTTGACATATTGGGCCCTCTGTGAATAGCCATGACTGGGTTCACGCGCTCCTAACAGGGGGGGGGGGGATTTGCAACAGTAGCCCAGATGCCTTGTCAGCCAATGAGAAATCAGGAGAGAGGGCCGGGCGAAGCAAGCGCAAGTGTCTTTTTCACATGCAAATGCTGCAATGTGATAATAAACACCTGACATGGAGCATGACTGAATTACCCTGCCTGTTCAATCAAAGCCTTTTCCAACCTCCTCTTTCTGCGATATCTCTCCTCCCTTTTTCATCCCTTCATTCATCATCGCTCTCACTTCATCCCTTTCAAATCTTTCGTTTCTCTCCCCACTTCCTGGTTTGTAAATCTTCCTCCCTCCTTTCTATCACTCAGCTGTTTTCACACTCATACATTATCACTTTTTCTGTCAATTGGCTTTAACCGTGCTAAGTTTTGTGAGGAGCCATCAGCAGGGGCCCCTTGGGGACAAGGAAATGACAGAAGGCGGCCTTTATTTACCTCTGTGGCCCCTACCGTGTCGTCTGCTTAATCATGTGGCTAATCGACAACACTGTCTCCCCGCTCGCCTGCGCCTGGACAATGGGGAACCTCATTCATATTTAATACAATGGAGTGTTTAAGTCATTGCACGCGTCTGAGGAGGAGGATATTGTGTTTCATTGTGAAGGGCTCCACAGGGACCTCCTCCCTGCCCACCCAGGCCTCCCTATCCGCCCTCCTCCTCCCTGCTAGCATATGCTTGGCACTTCTGGTGTTAAGCAGGCGGGTCCCCGGCCAATGCAGCTGGCTGGACGTAAGGGCCCCGGCCTGGTATCAAAGCCTTAATTCCCATGATTAATTCAAACGGTTAATTCAGCTTTATCACGGCTTAAGAAAAATTACCAAGACAAATATGTACTCCAGCGAAGACTGAATTTAGTAGAGGTGTATTTAATAATGCAACAGGGCTCATAATAGGGCCTCTTTTCATTTCACTAATCTCTTTGCTACCTCCACTTTAGAGAGCATGGTGTCAGATGCTGGGGACCATGTGCTGCCTCTGCTCTTTAACGCCTCTAAAAGGGATTTAACAAACCTGAAAGATCAGTCAGCGGGTTTACATGCACAGCTTAATAGGACTAAGCTCATAATTCATTTTTTCGCTGAATCAGACTTCACTCCTTGTCCGCGTATACATGCAGCTGAGAAAATTTAATTATTGACGTGAACGTGTCTTCCTCCCCAAAACCAGGGGGCGATATGGGTCTTTTCAGCGACATCAGAAGTGGCTACAACTGCCGCTGGGCATTTTTGAACGAAAAGATGGAGCATGGTAAAGCGTTGTTTTTGTCGTACATAACATATATGCAACCTTTTCTGCAGATGAGATGCACGCTATTCCTTCTCTCTCGTATTTTTGTTCTGGGGTTACAGGGGCGTGGCGCACTTGCACATGCATTGTCCGATCATATTCCAACTACGCTGGTTACATGGTAGAGAAAATTGAATTCCAATCGCATTATCTGGGTGACTTAATTAGAGTTCAAACTTTGATTATAGTCGGTCTAAGGTGTTTACATACACTTTGGTTGTCTGGTCTTAATCAGAGTGAGGCAATAATTCGGTTTTCTCGAGCGTCATGTAAACATACTGACTGAGTGTACTATCTCTTTATGTGTCTGTTGCTCCTTAGCCACTCTTAAGAACCTGATTTGGCGTTTTATAGTTCAGGTTCAAAACTTCCCACACTTTTTTGAACTGCTCGTGTCACATAGTTCCTCACTCTGAGAGTTTCTCTCCTTATCTCCCTCTCTCTGTCTCCTCTCCCTGTTTCTTTAAAAGATTAACCAGGGTCATTAAGGACACAGAGAAGGTTCATTTCGTTCTTACGAGAGGCAAATTAATCATGGGGGGATGCCATTTAATGACACACTTCCCTGGACTGATTACTTGTGTTCCTGCTAATTACATTGGTTAACTACAGTGCACCTATGAAGGTCCTTTTGGTATTCGGTCTCTCAAGTCCACGGGCCTCCTTAAAGACACACTCACTTGCTTTATTTTCTCCTCGGAGCAAATTAAAGAACATAAAAGAAACAGCTGTGTACGGCGCGGTTCCCCTGACGAGCCCATTACTGACACGCCTGCCTGTGTCTCGGAAGGAACTTAACTGCGTCCTATAACCTCAAAACGAGGGCACGCCGCTTGCCGGGCTTTTACTGTCGCACGGCTCTGGCACTTTTTCCTCCTCATCTCTCACTCCTTGTCTAAATGAAAAGAGCACAAAAGCTCGGTGTCATTAAAAAAAACCCTGCACCATTAGGGCTGTCTGGCTTCATTTGTCCTCCATTATTACTGAAGACGGCTCAGCCTTCAGAGCCTCGGAGACAGGAAGGGGACAGGGGACAGGCAATAGAATACAGGTTAGACAGAGGGCCACAGCCCGGCTAATAAGGGAGGGAATCTTGGGGCAGGTAAGGGTCAAACTGGACACTTCCTAGCATGCAGTGAAGAGCCATTCATCTGAATGGAAATGTCAGCAGAGAGCATCAGGTCAACAGCTCCAGGCTAACTCAGACCTGGGTGTGACTCCTGACACTCAGCAGTGGACAGGGGCCAGATAATGGGTTTAGGGCCCTGATGGTTATCTCCTCAACTCTGGCTTGTTTTCATTCCTCTCCTCCCCTTGCCCCTCCTTCCATCCCCTCTATCAACCCCCACCTCCCACCCCCATCAGCAGCTCTAATGATAACTGAGGAGGGGTTAAACGCTCTAATTCCACTGAGATTTTTGGGGGAGAAGATACGTGACAGATGTATCGAGATAAATGTGATGATGGCAGCTCTGAAGCCTGGGACAAGAGTGGCTGTGTTGTTTCCTTTTGTGATCTGTGCCAGTACTATTTATGGGGCGTGTGTGTAAACAAGCAGAAGGCCCGCCTTATGACTCTCATAATTGGTGGGTTTATTTATTTAATTATTTTAAGATCACAACCCAGACTTCATTTTTATTCTCCTCACCCAAATTAGTCCTTTGCCAAACGCGCTGATCTGAATCTGAGATGTGTTTGTTTGGGGTGTAATTGATTTCTTTTACTGACTTATTTCTTTTTTTTTTCTGTCAACATCATTCTCAACATTTTTATTTTAATTGCTTATCAATTAGAAAATAATTGCAGCAATTTAAGTTTGACTATCTGCAGTTTGAAATTACATCTTTCATTTCAACAATAAAATCAAAGCACTTTAATCCCAGAGGGTTTGTCCGACACGCTAAACGTGCAAGAAGATTTTTTTTCAGGAATGCAACCCTTTTGTGTGGAAAACAGAAGACAAATATCCACATCTTCCTCATGTCAAAATCTGTCAGAGCGTTTGGAGTCCTTTGATTTTTTTTTTCTCCACTTGCTCATATTGAGGCGGCTTAGAGGAGATCCTGAAAAGACCTTTTGAAACGGACCAGAGCTGCCAGTCTGGCTATTTGGTAACCCCCTCTTTTTCCTCAGCCTGTTTTACAATCTCATTAAATCGGCCCTTTGTTTTGCCACTTTCCAAGCTCTGATCTCTGGCTTAGGACGAGTCAAGAGGCCGAGACAGTTTGAAAAAGGCTCCCTCCGCCACAAAGAGGCCGCTTGTTCGCAATCATTCCCCTCTTCAACGCCACCCGGACAAAAAAGGAGAGGGAGAGAGCAACAGGGTCATTCACTGGCGCGTTATCGTGAGAACTTAATGAAAGTTTTATAACTCTTGAAATGTTTATGACCTTCCCACTCAGCAGCTTGTCCCACCAATTAATGGCTGATTCTGACTGAAGTCTATAAGCTCCGCTGCCTCTCCAGGAAACGTAAATAATATTGTAGACAAAAAATATAGAAAATGATTGACTTTAATGGATTCAACTTTTTAAAAAGACAGAAATAGAAAGAAAAGCTTAACCTGGCTTTTCTGTTGGTTTGGATGCAGTCAGTGGTTTACCTTGGATTTGAGTTGCTAGAGGGAGGCCGGCACATAAAGATATTATAATCCGTCTTTGGTATCCCAGGCCTCTCAGACACCTCAAACTAAGTCCTCTTCCTCTTCCCTGCCCAGCAGCTCTCCAGCTCATGATAAATCCTGCTCTACTGTGGCCTTATTAAGAACCATCCCACTCCATTATGTCACTGCGTTTACATGGTGTAGAAATAAAAACAGAGAAAAAAGCCAAGACTTCAATCGGGGGGAATGTGCTGCTGTTGCTGCAGCATGTTAAGATCACAATAACCCGATCTAAAGTGTTGTGTTAAAAACTCAAATGAACACTGAACGCACCCCCTCTCACTCAGTAGACAGTAGTTACTGAATTACTCCCCATGCAAGGACTTAGCAAAGATCCATCTTGGTACCGTGAACCTGTCATGGAGCAATGAAGGGGAATCCAGCGCCCATCTGAAACAAATGACATAGTCTATCGCCCAAGGCCCCTCTCTCCCTCTTCTTAACAGCTACGCTGAGAAGCCATCACTGTCCACAAAATATGATAAAACCCATGCCATAATAGGATTCATAAACATGCCCAAATACAATTTGCTGAGATGTATTTCAGGAAAAGACAATCATTTACAACTTCTGAGGGGGATTTAGAATAAGTATGTTTGTATGCAAATCCGGCAAACACGTTTTATGTACTCCGCTCCCACAGATCATGAAAGCGCATTAGATTTATGGCAATATGTGTGCATAATTGTGAAGATGATGGGGTGGGGGAGAAAGGAAGAAGAAGAAGAAGAAGCAGAAGAAGTGTTGGGATTTATGCTTAGACCTTTTTGGGGGTTTTGATTAGTGTAGAACGAGCCCAGCTTTCATGCCCCCGACATGGAAAACAATCGCTGCCACTTGGCTGAGTCCTGGGCATCCAGGCCCCCTTCGCTTCCACATGGGATGCCGCCAACATTCGCTTTTGGCAATAAAGATAGCTGAGGACAAAAGACAGACAGCGAGTACCTCTTGGCATATTCTTATTTGCAAGCAGGCCTTCTTAATTTGTAGTTGTTGTTTTTTATCCTCAAAACACAAACATGTATGGTGGAAACTTAAACAAGGGGAGACTTTTTGGAGAAAGTGTGTTTTTAACAAGTTTAAAAAAATTAATCCAGGTGTTGACATAACTTAAATAACTTTAAAACGCACCTGAAAATTTGTTTAGATGTTTCCATTTAAAACGAGAGAAAAATTACAACTTTTTTACACTTGTCAAGACTGGTTCGAGTTCCTGGTAGAATCCCTGATGTCCAAATGTTTGCAGCGTTTGTCTGTGTCTGCTAATAATATCAAAGGTCTCACAACGTTCACTAATAAAGACCCTGAAGAATGCTGATCGGCCCTCTATAAAGACGCCACTTTAAATAAAGAAAGAGCTACAGTTTCGACTGACTTTATGCTACCTTGGCCTTATGTAAACACCATTAGAAAGTTGAATCCAATAAAGTCCAATTTACAAACTCATTTATTACCAATAAAGGAGAAGAGAAACACCTGCTTCATGCCATCTTAACCTCATTTTGAGTTGTGTTTTCTTTCCCCTCGCTCATTCTGTCTGGAGAGCCTGTTATGTGCAATGTGGCATGAATTTGGGTGTCTGAGACAGCGGCCTCCTCTTCCTCTATCTCAGCCATTGGTGGGAGAGAAGAAGGGAAGGAGTAGGGGGGATTGACCCAGGAATCTGGAGTTTTTTGGAATGAGAGTTCAAAGGAACTCCCCGCAGCCTATATAAACCACCCTCAATTGGCACAAAGAGGAAACTCAATTTGCAGGGAGCTGCGCTGTATACTTTTTATAGAGGAACTTTTAGTCATTAGGCCATATACTCCATCCCACTGAAGGAGCCAGGCGACGCGGCAGGAGGCCGCAACGTGCCTCTTCTACAAAAAAGCAGGACCTAGCCCCCCCCTCCATCACCTCACGAGAAGAAAAATTCTCCTAATGAGAGCCCAGTTAGTTCCTGTGTCTTCAGATGGTGTCCTGTTTGTTCAGCAGAGCAGGGGGATCTGTGTTAACCCTTCCACAACAAAATCTGCTTAGAAGGTGTAATCCTATCTAGTATGCATGTAGCAGTCTTCAGGCGGGGCTGTACAGGAAAAACAGCCAAAGATGCTGTATCAAATTAAACATATGTGTGGAAAAAAAACACACACACTCTCTTTTGGGCAACAATCAGGTCCCAATGAAAGAGAATGCATTTCTTCTGGAAATCGAGTTTAGGGTTGTCATATTCATTTGAGTCAAACGGGATTTGAGAACAAAACACAGTTTGAAACATGACGTACACAGACCCAAGAGTTGATCTGTTTACAAAAACAAAACACTGAAAGCAAGTCCAACGCTGTTAGAGGGGAAGAGGGAAATTTGAGAAAGAACCTTTAATTTATAAATTCATTTGGTTTTGTAAAATCGATTAAAACACCTAAACCTACTAAAAACATGTAACAAAATTAAAAAAAAAAAAAAACTTTGATAATGATTTTTATTAAAATCTTAGAATAAAATTAGATCAAATCAAAGTGATTATATTTTATTATCATAGAAAACGATTTTTAAGATTTACCCTTTAATTCCTGGATGTAGGCCTTTACCACCCCAGATATGAGCTTTATTTGTCTTCCACCTGAAAAACAAGCAGAGAGAAATATGATTAGTGTGGTTGCTTTTACTTTCCAAACTCACCCTTTTTTCCTCATTTGCATTTTTTTCTTTTTACATAAATTGTTGGAGTTATGAATTTGCAAAATAAGGGAAATAAAATAAGTTGTTTTTGTGGGGTGTCTAGTCAGTCGTAGGTTAAAATTATCTTTTGGCCTGCTCCCACTTTCAGACTCCATCCAAATATCATCCTTCATAATCTCCACCCCGCTTCGTCCACCTGGGTTCTTTCTAACCTCTGTGACCTTTGACCTTCCCGCACAGTTTCGCCAGCCTTCATATTTGTCTCTTTGTGTCCTTTGTTGCCCTTCTCGCCCCCCATTCTCCCCCTCACTATGTATGGCAGATTAATGACAGCTAATAATATCTGATGTTCCTGGACATTGTGTCCGGTAATGAGATGCATTCCCAATGGGTAGGCAAGGTGTCACCACTAACAAATTCACCATCGCCGTGTGCAATTAGCCTGTAAAAAGGCTGGAAAAATACACTAAATCAGTACGGGCCAAGATGGATGAAGCAGGCTGAAAGAAAAATACCCCTTTGTTACCAAACAGCCAACACTAGGGAAGAGAAAGAGAGAGAGAGAAGGAGAGAGAGAGAGAGGAAAAATGTCTCTTTCCTCCTCCACATCTTTCTCCTGGAGGAGATGTGGACAGGTTACCTTTATGGAAACATTATTCCTTGACTGCTCCCTGGCAGGAGTTCATTACAGCTCAGCCTAACGTTGAAATATTCTCCGCAAAATGTCAGCGTATGTAAATGAGGACTCAGCCCTCATTCGCATGTCATGTTTTGTTAAAAGTTGTTGCAACCTTTCTTTCCTACTTATTTCTGGCTTTTCTTTGCCCCTGCCTCATCATCATCACGGGGGGCAGTTGACTTCAAAAATGATGCATATCCTCTTTGAAAAAGAAAATAAATGAAAGGAAACACATGTTATACCTAATGACCATTAAATTATCACTATATGTTTTAAAATTTCTGAACGCAGCCCAGAATAGAGATTTATTTATCCATCTATTTATTCTAATCTATTTCAGTCTCAATTATTTTACAATTAATTAAGGTGTCACTTTAATTGAAATCATTCTTTTATAATAAAACACATAAACTTTGCCATTTATTCACTAATATTATACATAACTTACTGCAGAAAGTTATAGATTTCCTACAGTAAATAATCGATTTTCTGTGTGATGTGGCCGTATTTATATCTGCACTAGTAGGCCATATTAAATCATGTTCAACAGCATCGATCCCTCAGGGCAGTTTAAATATTAGTGAGCATTAAATCAATATCAATGCAGGCTGTTGTTACACTCTAAAAGGACTCTGGCATGATTCAACATTTATGCAAAACAACATCTAAACTCTGGCATAATGTCTTGGCTGGTGCCATCCTCGCTGCACGGGCCCTGTGGCTACTCCAAATGAGGAGAATGGATAGAGCATCCATTCACAGCCATCCGTGTGTGCCCAGTAGCTCAAAGCGTCGACTAGTTGCCCAGTCATTCCCCCAATCTGACAGCTAGCATGGCTTAGGCAGAGCGGTGAATGCTACGCTAACCCAGACTCGCCACACATCCCTTGCTGTTAACTTGCAGTGATGGTTTTCAGCACCACACACAACAGCTCTTTTGCTTTCCAGGGTGAGACTGAGGCTGGCTTATTGCAGGGATACATGCTAAATAATTTCCCACTTTATGTTTCTGCGCATGTATGCATCAACTTTTTAGTTTTGCTACGTCAAAAATTCATTTTCAAAGGGTAAAGAAGATGCCAACTAGCTCACCCAGAGCTGTCAGAAAAGGGGATTTGGCGCATTGTGCTTCTGAACACAACACCGCAGCACTCCCATATTCAGCAGCCGGCTCCCTGCTCTGCTCTGTGCCCCCACTGTACCCCTATGCATGGGCTGAATCTGTGGGGGCTCAATGAGCCTAATGAAAATTACATTCACACCCGCGCCACTCCTGCCTATACAGCCTACATTATGCAACAGATGAGCGTTGGGGGCCAGGGTGTCTAAGTTTGATAGCATTTCTTAAGCAGGATCAAACTGGAAGCGCGGGAGGAATGTTGGCAGTGATGTGAATTTGATGAGTTCAACAGTAAAAATATTCACTTTTCACGTATAATGAGAGTGAGAAACAGGTCTGTGCGGGGTGGATTTTTGGAGGCTTTTTTTGGGGGGGAAGAATCTTCTTTGCAATATCATTATGTGGGGTAAAATTGATATAAAAATGAACTTTTTGGAATAATTGACTCAGTGCTCATAACGAGAGGAGATCCCGTCATTTGTTATGAGCCAAATGTATGCTACAATATAGGAAATCCAGTTAGGAGGAAAGTGATGAGTTTCAGGAAGGCGCTGAAATCTACATGCAAATGCATAATAATCACAGATCTACAATATTGCAGTGTTAAGAAAAAAATACCTTGAATTCAATTATCATGTGGGCTGGAATAATCATAATGTTATTGGAAACTCAATTATGGAGGCAAGCCATGTCTGGAAATTAGCTGAACTTAGCTAAGGCAAGTCAGCCCCTTGAATTCATCAAGTATGGATTATCACAATATTACATGTTCACTTTGATTCTGCTGTCCAAAGACAAACATACACAGTCACTGCCGCATACTCCCCACGTTTGTTTTATTCATGAACTGTGCTCTGATCTATTATACATACAAAACTGATTCTATGCTGATCGCCTCGGGCTAAGAGGCTCAGACATAGAATTAATTATATTATATACACATGCATGATAATTGTGTACGATTCGGTCAAACACAGAGGTATTTTCTATGTGTGATTACCATTGTTGCTACAGCGGCAATTATTTTCATTATTGTTGCTAATATTGTTAATGTTATTGTTTTCTCATTACAGCATTTCTCTGGGGCTTATTTTTAAGATATTAGGATGTATGTGACCACCACTCTGGAATAAATCATGGCGGTGGCTGACGAGGCCCATGACATTAATACATAAACCACATGCTCATATAGCAAGAAAATTACTTTGAAATTAAACACCAGGCAAGCACAGGTCGGGCACGGGAAATAGAGATAAGGGCGCTAATTCATTAAAAAATATTAATGAAATATCCCCCTCTACACAGTGTGCATGGAGACAACCATACTTTTGAATATTGCAACATTAAAAGTATTCCCTCTGCCTGATATGAAGGGTAGATCATTGGTCATAGTTAATATTATATTGGTTGATACTTGTACTTTGTTTTCCACGCCTGAGCGTGATTGAAAATATCATTTCCACTTGGCACCGGAAGCGTCATGTCAGTTTTGTTATCAAATTCCAGCACACACAGCAAGGTCCAATATGATTCCACCCCAAGATTATCCAAAGACATTTACAATAATTGACTGGGTTTATGCAGAGTTTATTATGAAAAAAGTGGAGGTCAATTGCACGCCTGGATGGCATTCCTACAAAAGATGATGTATTCAGGCATGGACCGTGGAAAAGGTGTGTGGATGTCTATTGATATTTGCATAGATGTATGAACTATGTGAATGCAAAAGCAGAAACAATATTTACATGATGAACATTTTTGCATTTTTTTTACATAAAAAAAAAGATTACATTTTTTACACGCAACCTGCAATTTTTTTTTTTTTTTTTTTTTTGCAGTCCAGTATCCAAGATTCCTTTCCTGTTTGTGCGTCTCTCTGTCTCTGCTTTTGTCAACTTTGAGAGTTCCTTTCAGTTCACTCTGTCACCAGCCTTACCCTTGTTCCCCCTGCATTGCTGCCTGCCATGGCTGAGCTGAGGAACATGCAGCCTCGCTCCAAGACGACTTCAATCCCCTATTATCAGGAGAGCGCACATTGCCGCTCACAAGGGTTTAATTTATTTGTGCCTGTTTCAGCCCAAGATTAAAGTTTAATTGGCGCTGACTGGCAGCTCCCAAGTTTTGACTAATTCTCCTTATCGGGAATCCTTACCGAGTAGCTGTGGGCAATGTGAGGCCTGCCTGCCTGCTTGCCTGCTTGCCTGTGTGCGCGGCAGCAATGCCCACACACACACACACACATTTACACACAGAGGCATACATGCAGTCAACATAGTAATCCCTTATTTTAATTGGTCGATGCATTGAGTACCTGTGACTGCATATTTATTTGAGTTGTGTGTTTTCTTGGTGTGTACATGGGTGCTGACACAATTATGCATGTTTAGGCTGTGTATATGTATTTGTTTGAGAGGTAATACATGTGTTAGCTCCATTCCTCCTTGGCAAGGCCGCCAAAAGCTCCTGGATTGTTGGGTAATTAGACATGCATCATATTATTTACTTCAGACTTGATAATTGATTTGTAAAGGTGGAACCACTGTGTTTCAGTGCAGGCCGCTCTTCTTTTTTTCCAAACTGAGGCTTTGTGACTTTACTCTACGTACAGATGTGCACATTTTCAAATGAGAATTCTCCGTCAACGCTGCGAACACAAGGGGAGAATAACGCATAGTGCAAAAACAACACTGGATTGTGGGCTGATCCGGCGTGTGCTGCCATATTTCTCATGAATCGTTCTAGCATAAATCATTACAAAATGCATTACTGTAGAGGGATCACATTTCCATAAGTGCGTGTTTATGCCAGAGTGATACACAAGCGTAAATAACACTGATAATCTCAGCCTGTGTTTGATCAGCCAAATCTGAGTCTGAGGGTGCAATCGTTTGTGACCTGTAATATTAGTGGCAGCTATTAAAAGCTGTGGAGGATTTGCAAAGCTTCATTTAGTCCGTTGGGGAGATGTGCGTGAAATAGAGTTCCTTTGGTCGTAACTAATGTCTCTAATTCTAATGAGCAGAGCTTCTGTGTTGCAGCTACATGCTCCTAAACTGGGAAGCACTGGATTAAGGGAGTTCTCATGAGGGCAAATGGACCCGAGTTCAAAGTCATTGGCTTTAAACAGGCATGTAGAAGTATATCTTGGTACAAAAGCCTGAAATTAATTCTGTTGGTATCCTTTTGTAAGTGGAGTTGAACACATTTTCATCCGATCAAAATAACCACGATGAACTAAAAGTGTTATAAAATTTGTAACAGCGTGTCTTTGAAGATTTGAATATTTGAGACTTTTCCAACAGTCAGTGACATTTATAAAGCATCAGTGTTCAAAGAAAATACAACAAAAGTTGTACAGGTTGTCCTCATCTGAATCCCAAGTGTCTGGGAGGCTGTTATAAATTCAGTGAGACATAAATCAAAAAAAGTAAAGGGGAAGAAATAAGGAGAAATCTGCCAAATGAAATAAGGATACAAATTAGGATGATATAAAGAGCATATGCAGGAAAGAGAAGCAACTGAGTGGTCTTGGCCAGCTGAAAGCCACATCTCACCTGCCAGAGCAAATCTGGGATAATACCCAATTCACAGGTAGCATGAGCGCTGTGTCCAGCTGGAAGGAGCAGGCTCCCTTTAATGCAAATCATGTGTTAATACATCCTTTCTTCTGCTGGGCATATGAACAAGACCAGAAAGACACCTTTAAGAGTAAAGGAGACACGGTAAAACAAACACGGGCATGTGGCATCCAAATATCATGGATGAATATGCTTTCCAGCAAAGTGAAATCCTGGAGTTATTCTCCAAGAATGGTGGTTTTATAGTGCGAGTGTGTGTACGTGTGAAGAGCTGTCAGTGCATCGACATGGGGGATGCCGTCCCCTAATAAATCCCCCAGTTCTGAGGCTCCTTCATTGACGGCTGCTAATTTCACCTGACACGTCCTAGCCGCCACTGAGCATGGCCTGGCAACCGATCGGCACGCATCAGACTCAATCAGGAGGAGATGCCTCTCCTCTGATGAAAAACACACATGCACAATGACACAATTTGAGGTGTGGTAAAGGCGGGTATCAGCATTTCCTCGACTAACAACCCCGAAGGAGAGCAGCTGATCCTGACAGAGAGGAGATGTTTCAGCTGTACCTGACCTCTGGATGCTAAAGACGGGTCTTTCTTGGTTGTTACATCTGAAACAGCGTAGTACACCTCCTCGCTTCTCCTCACTATCAGATCTACAGCAAACAAAACTCTCGATAACATCACTTTGGCTTATTGCCACCTCTTGCACGCTTCATGACAGCTCCTCTAAAACACTGTGTATACCACCTGAGGAGCTGAAGAGTGGATTCCTCTAGAGCTGAAGTCAAGCAGCACCAAACAAACAGCTCCCAGGAGACAGATGGTGTCAGAGCAAGAAGACATGGAGAGCCAAATAACAGGGCTGCCAGTTCAGGTAAAACACCTTTTGTACAAAATGTAGAAGAGAGTGCTTCTGCTGGTGCAAGCACCGTGGGTGTATGTTCTGAGATACTCCAAGATGGAAAAAAAAAAGGGTTACCATTACATGTTGCAGTCCTTCTTGATCCACTGCATCAATAACTCAACCTACTTAATTTATCTGGGACAAATGCTCAACAATCTTTGGTCTTCATCATCCTCACCAGTCCTTTTTCTTCAGCCTTTTTTTTTTCTTCTTTCAGGTCTTCCCTCCAGGGCAACAAAAAGTTTCTTTCTGTCCTCTAGTGTGGAGTTATGATGAACAAATTGTGAGGCGAGGCTTGTTTACAGGAGGAAACAAAACAAAAAAAAACTAACTTGAAAAATGGGCACCGCAGTTAGATTTCACAAAACAATTAATGTTGCTTGCGGTGGGCAAAAAGCGCTCGCGGCCAAAACCCATCTCTCGCCCTCCTCGGCTTGTGAATGTGGTCGACATTGCGGGTTTCTCACTGTGTCAAGAAAGAACATATTCAAATGTGTATGGCTATTAAATGTTAATTTGCACAACAGATGAATGTCAAGTACAGTGCTTCATCAACAAAATGCCCTTTCTGTTTCAGTATGCAAAAAGCTGGGCTTTCACCAAGTGGAATGAGCTCTTGATTTTGGCATTTGCATACCTCAGATGGATTTCTTTTGAAGTTTTTAAAAGTTCCAACTTGTTCTCGCTTAACAAAACTATGCAGGAATCCCAGCGCATGCAGCGTCCTCTCATTCGCACAAACAGGGAAGGAAACGCTTTGCTGAGGATGAACATGCATGGAAACACAAGAATTGTGAGAATGATCTCCTTTTTCCAGGCACAACATAATAACCCGTTTTTATTGGCGTCTGTCCACATCTGAACAGTGACTATGCAAACATTCTCCTGTGCCATTTGTATCAAGAGAAGATTTCTCTGTTTCAACGGTATTATTTCACGTTCAGAACTTAATCTTCAGCAAATAGCTTGAATTGGCCGACGACCAGGAGTGACTAATGTGGTCGCTCGCCACGTATCGCGGAGGAAGATGTTGATGTTGAAAAGTGTTGAACCTTCATTCACAAATGGCACTGAACAAAAAAAGTAAATTGAATCACTGCAGACAGACGGTTTCAATGCAGACAGCTTAGCACGCTGATAGATGGAGATTATGAGCGATGAGAAGTTGTACCTCTCAACACATGCTGAGAGAATCAAATCCAAAGTCAAACACAGAGGGGGATTTTCTAATGCCTTTATAATCAATATTTCATTCTTCTTTACAGGTTTTTATCCCTTTATTTGAAGTCTTTATAAATCTCTTTAAACTACTTAATACTTATCGTGTTGGTGTTTGTATTTGTAGTCAGATTTAAGACAAAAATCATCTTCATTTATGACGCATTTGTTGCTTTTGTCAAAAACTGTTAAGAGTAAATCTCAGGCCTGTTACTGTACGTCAAGAATAATCCAGAGGTGAGTCACGCCTCTAAACTTTCATATCCCCTCGCACTAAAGAGCCTCTGTTAGTCCTAATCTGATGACCCCCTGCGTGCGCCCACCTGACAGCTCCTCCTTACCACGTCTACAACCGACACACTCACACCCAAGACGCTGAAACGGAGAGCGAAGAAGGAAGCGGTCTCCCTGGCCTTGAGCTGATGTTGTCTGACACAGTCAAAACAAAGCTGGGTGTTTCCCTACGCCGCTACGTTAAGCATCAGGACCCGCGTGTCAGGCCTTACCTGCTTCCTGTTTGAAGGCACCATGGAAACCAGTTGTGACGACACCACCTGGTCAGTGTCAACAGGAGTCAGCATGAGCGGTACATGGGGGAGAGAGGGAAGAAGAGAGGGAGACCTGGAGTAAAGGCACAAATAACCTTGTATATACTCCTACTGTACTAAATTGCTGCAGGAAACTGTTGTCCATTTTCTCAGTTATTGATTATTTTGTTCCAGCAGCATGCTGTGCTATGGACTAATGCTAGATTGTCCAAAACGTTGACCTTTGCACTTGATTCAGAGATTTCTGGCATTAAATACTATTTTGCTCTTGCATTTACTGTAAAACGCTAAGAATACGAGATATGGATATTCTTCTCACTAATTATTTTGCCTGAATACAGATTGAATATGCTAATATGCACCTGGACTAAAACACAGTTTCTCCTGGGACACACACATAAACAGAAGAGCTCCAGCGAAGATCCGTTCCTGTTTTGAGTTGGCCTCATATTTTCGTATGCAATGCTGTCAAAATGGTTGCACATGCAGTTGTTGTGCCTTCAGGGGATTTCATATTTTTGTTTATTTATATATTTATAAAGTTGCTGCTACATTTTAAAAAGTTAGCTGCATAGAAGGTATTCATTGTCAGCCAACCATTTATTGATCACCCAAGTTGTTCCACATGCTTGCGTTTCACGGGAGTGTGTGGAATAATAATGGGATGGCAGGCCTTAAAGGTACAGAATGTGGACGTGGGAATATTTAGAGATATTAACATGTCAGATACTAGATTGAATCGCTCCCTCGAAACTCCAACCTCTTATTCATGACATTCCAGGAGCAACTGTGGCCTTCGAGGAAGCTCATGGCAAGTATGATCCTCTATTTGTCAAGTTTTTGCCCCTCAAATCTCCAACTGATAAGGATTCGTTTGTGCACAACAACCATCCTCTGCATCATCTTTGCCTTGTGGCGGGTGCATTTTTTCACAGCCATGCGCTAGACACTAAAATGCACCGTTTACCAGTTTGTCCTTTGCTGCTGCAGAAAAATGGCAATGATGGCTGCATCTGTGGAAAGGGAAACATTGATGCTCATTCTTTGAATTAAGGCTCTTTTGGTTTGCATCAATATTGGTGCCCCCTCTACATAAAGCTTATCCTGTCCTTTACGTGCACAAGTCAAAAAAAGATCAAATCTAATTACGCAGCTCAGTGTTTGAATCTGTCTTCTCTCAGTTTTGTTGAATGGGTAGCAACAGAGCCAGCCCAAGGCATAAGCGAACTTAGCGCCTGCTTAGGGCCAATAGGGGGCCCCCAAGAGCAATAAAAAAATATATATCATTTTTACTTTTGCTGTATGATCAAATATATTATTGTAAAAATAAAATAAAATCAAGTAAAAATTTGTTAGTGCTGCCGCTGATGTAGACCTATGATTCTTAATGCCAATTTGTCAAAGCTCTGCTACCATAATTATGCCTCCTGCTGTGCAATGTGCACTGAATAGCCAAAGCGCAGGTAGTTGTGGGGCAAAACATTGTAGCAAAAAAGGACATATCCTTCAGGAGCAGAGAAAAGAAAGAGGGAGAAGAGAAAAAATGCCAAGATAAAGGAACGTTTACATGTAATAGAATGTTAATCAAAGAGATTTGTGAAGGTGTGTGAATGATCAACAATCAATATTATTGGCAGAAATAGAGGGCCCCAAAAACAAATTTTGCTTAGGGCCCCATTGAGGCTTCGGCCGGCTCTTGGTAGGAATGAGATTTGTTTGTGTGTGTGTGTGTGTGTGTGTGTAAACTGGTGATCATGACTAGTAGGGTAAAAGTGTTTTCAGAGGATAAGATTAGAGAAGCTCCATGTAAGTCAAAATCTTTTTACTTTTTATATGAATGTAAATGAGCTTACAGTTGGATTCATAAACTCCAGACTGAAGTTGAACATGAGGACATAAATGAACCGCACCTAAAAACCAGTTTCCTTCTCTAGTCTCCATCCAGTTCTGGCAGTTCACCCACAGGTCTGGTTTTGCCTGAGGTTTCTGCTTCTGATTTTGCTTGCCACTGTTGCTAAGTGCTTGCTGATGGATGGATTAATGTTGGTCACTCTAAATAAAATAAAAACCAGTCTAGACTTGCTTTCATTGTACAGCGTCCAAAGACAACTTCAGCATTTAAAGCATTCAGTACTCTGCAATACAAAGTTAATTGATTGCTTTGGATAGTGGGTTGATTTTGGATCCACTGTTGGCCTGATCTGCTGAGCCAAACCTCTCTGAGGCGGGTCTACTCATTGATAAGTTCATGTCCATTTATCTAAAAACCAAAACAGTGAACCGCTGAACTGTAATAAAAGTAGGACATTTCAACACAAGTGCGAAGAGAAAGAAGAGCAGAGCGCTCGTGTGTGTTTTCAGCCTCCCCCCCTAAATCGAGGCCACACTTTTAAGGTCA